CTGCCCGTTCACCTCTGTAACCACTGCACATCCCTGGCACGTGATATATGCTCAAAAAGTATCTGTTCAATCTCAAACATTCTCTCATAAAGACTAGAGACCTAATCTTAGATTCACAGGATTTTAAAACTAGAAAAGACCTGAGCTACCACCTAGTCTTGGAGCCACTAGATTTTAGGATAAGAGAAGACCTCAGGAACCATCTACTTTAAAACTTCAATTTATATTTAAGGAAACTCAAAGCTAAACATTAACTTGCTCCAGATCATGTAAACAATCAGCGTGTGACCAGGATAAAGTTCTGCTATCCATCCAGGTACTTTCTAGTATATCCTGACCAACCAAATACAGTAGAATTAGTAAGATCTTGAAAAGCTAAAAAATGGGCTAAAATCAACAAGATGAAATTTATCAAACATTTAGAATCCAACTATCAATTGCAGAATATAGCATTATAGAGAACTGCATTGCATCTTCCGCATTGGACAAACTATCCCTATTTCCAGCTGTGGGCAGTTCCCTAACAAGAGGAACTTGCAAAAGAAAGCAACCAAGACTGCCAGCAGTCTTTGAAAACATGTCATTTTTGAGTACAGGCACTTATCTTCAAAAAGAGAAGAATTATGGATAATATGTCAGTTGTCCCTGAAGCAACAAGTGGAAGCCAGCAGGAAAACAGATGTCAGCTCAACATACAAAGTTTTATGACCTACTCAGACCTGAATAAGTTACTTTGTCAGGCAGGAGCCCTCTATAACGAAATGAATGATCAGGACTGGAGTGGAAGAATCCTCAGAGGACTGGAGTCCCATCTTTAAAGACTCTGGTAAATATAAAACTTACCATACTATTTTAAGAGTACAATGGCATTAAGTACATTCACAATATTGAAAAACCACCACAATTATTCATTCCCAGAATTTTCATCACGGCCCACAGAAACTCTGTCCCCACTGAAGGCCAGCTTCCCACCCCCACCCCACCCCCACCCGGGAAAATCTCCCTTCCATTTTCTGTCTCTGAGTGAAATCATACAATCTTTATCCTTTTGTGTCTGGCTTAGTTCCCTCAGCACATCTATACTATAGCATGTAACAGGATTTTAGTCCTTTTTAAGGATAAATAGCCCTGGCCGGGTGCTCATTTGGTTAGAGCGTCATCCCATATGACAAGGTTGAGGGTTCAATACCTAGTCTGGACACAAGAATCAATCATTGAATATATAAAGTGGAACAAAAAGAAAAAACAAAAACCCGATGTGTCTCTCTCTAAAATCAACAAATTCAAAAAAAGGGATAAATAGCATTCATCTGTTGGTAGACACTGGATTGTCTCCTCTTTGGGCTATTTTAAATAAGGCTGCTTATTTAAATCAACACTGGTGTAACACTTCTATTTGCGTCCCTGCTTTCAATTCTTCGGAGTTTATACCTTGGGGTGAAATTGCTGGATCATGTAATAACTCTGTGTTTAAGTTTCTGGGGAACCACTGCTAAATCCTTTGCCACAGCTCCTGGCTGCACCATTTTACATCCCCGCCAGCGATGCACAAGTGTTCCAGTTTCTCCACATCCTCACCATCGCTTGTGGTTTTTATTGTATAGCCATCCCAATGGGTGTGATATTTTATTTCATCCTGGTTTTCATTTTCATAACTTTGATGCCTCACGAGCATCCTTTGATGTGTTCATTGGCCATCTGTATATTTTCTTTGGAGAAATACCTACTTATGTCCTTTCCCCTTTTTTGAACTGGACTGCTTTGTGTTGCTGAGTAACGGGAGTTCTTTACATTGTCCGCACACTAATCGCTTATCTGATACTTTACTCTCATTCTGTGGGATGCCTAGCTGATTTTGAAACAATGACAAAAGCCCACGCAGTGCCCGATGGAGAAAACTGCATCTGGGACTGAAGCGAAAAGAATGCATTCCTTGAGAGCCAGAACCGACTTCCCAGCCGGGTTTTAAATAAAACGTTACCTGACTCCCCCCCTTAAGTCCCGTCAAGTCCACCCCGCCCCCGGCTTCTGGAAAGCGGGTCCTTCCGCCAGGCGGGCGGGAACGGAAGGGGTGCAGGCCCCTCCTCGGGGGACGCCCCAGGCTTCCTCGGGGTGCAGGCCTCGGGGTGTGCGGGTTCGGACGACGCCCCTCCCTGCCCGCCCCGCTTCTCACCGCTGGGCCGCGGCGGCGTCCAAGTAGGCAAATGTCGATGGGAGGCCGGGCTTGCGGTCTCGGGTTGCACCGCGAGGCCCTGCAAAGCGGCGGCCTTCCGAATGGCGGCGAGGCGCAGTCGCGGGCTCCAGACGCGCGAGCGTGCGCGCGGCCGTGGGGCGTGTAGACTAGGGCTGACGGGAATCGAGTTTGGCGACGCGCGCCCTTCCGCGCGGACCAATCACAGCGCTGATCGCGGGTCGCGTCTTCCCCGAGAGCCCTCGGGCGCGTGGAACGGCCCGCCCAGATATCGGAAATGACGTACCCTGCCAAGCCTCTGGAAGTTCCCGCAAGTTGGCGGGGGATCGGGGAGGGTCTTCGCTGTCGTGACTCAGGCAGGCCACGCTGACGATCGTCCTCCGTGTTAGGTCGAGACATCGAGCCCTGGCCTGGGGACATCCAACCGAGAAGGTGCTGTGCAAGGAAGAGGCCTGGCGTTTCAGAATCGCTCGCCGAAGGCGGGGGTAGAACCTGTTAGGGTAAAACAAACTGATCCTCACCCGCGGTTCCCGCCCCTCGGGTCAGAGCGGGTTCCCCTGTGGGAGCAAACGGCGTCGTTGCCCAGATTGACCTGTGTGAGCAAATGCATCGCCGCCGGGTTCGCCAGTGCGACCAAAGGACACCCCGCAAGGTGCACTTATGTGAGCAAAAGGCATCCACTGGACCTCAATTCCTGGCATCTCCAGTCTGTTCTACTGTTCTTTGTTTTAGTCTCCCATGCCGAATTTAAGATCCTGCGTTCTTTAATTTCTGGATATAGTCAGACTTTTAATATTTATACAGTAACTTGGGGTGCATTTTAGGAAGTTTTCAGATTTTTGTTTTTGCACCAGAGTGATCTATTCATTTTGATTAGATTTAATCTGCTGGGAGGGGGTCGGGGGACCTCAGAAAATTGAACATCATTTACACCCTTCCCATCCTTCAAGGGGCAACTTTAAAATGAACACTAATCTCCTAACAAAAAATTCTTTATAAGAAGGAAAAGTTGAACACCTCACTAGAAAATACAGGCAGAAGACACAGCTTATTTACCAAAGAGACAAATGTCCAATAAATAGTAAAAATAATCTTCAGCCTTAATAATAAAGGGCAAATAAACACTTTAGAAGCTGCAAATTTTAAATGCAGAAACAAGAGAATGTTTTCTCTGAACATCAAGTTCTACATATTAACTTTTGTGTTTATCTTTAATATGTTGTAAAATTCAGTATAGGGATATACAGCATGTTTTCTTATTTTAAGTCTATATTGTAAAAGTCTTGTAATAGTCTTAGTGGAAGTGTTGCTGCTATAGCAGCATTACCAAAATAACTTGCAACCCTTTATTATTGTAGTTGTTACTCTTAAAACCACCTCATGGAAGGTAGTTTTAATTTGTCATTCATATCACCTAGTTTCCAGTTAGCTGGTTGGAGCCCAGAGACTAGTAGCCATACATCAGTTTTCCTGCAGTTGGTGAAGTTGAGCTGTCCTGGGGTGATTTGTAAATGAAATATCAATATGCAGATGGGTACTCATCCCGCCAGTGTTTTGTGCTTTGTTGTCTGCAGAAGGAATCCCTTGGGTCTAGGAGTGGTTGTGGAGAGAGGGGAGCTTCTGGAGCATTGGAGTTCTAGCTTTCTTTTCTTTAAGGAGCTTCTTTGGAGCCTTTTTACATTCTGTTGTGAGATCCACTTTTAGAAACAAGGTTCATTGTGACTGCAAGCCATCATTTGTAAGGCTGCTTTACTTGTTTTGGTTTTTTTTGTTGTTATGTGTTAGATTGAGCTGATTATCCCAACTGAATTTTCAACAAACCTCTAGCATAGGACAATTCTTGGAGGCCGAAATCTAGATTGTGATGGGGAACAAACTCTGGGTCTTTTTCATTGTTTTCTCTATCAATAAATTTTAAAAAACCGTAGCACCCTCTGCCATTATTTTGAATGGAAAATCTGCCCCTTTGCCTCTCTCTTCTCCTTCTGGGACCCCCACAATGTATACATTGACCCACTTGATCCTGTTCTCTAAGTCCCATAAGCTATCTTCATTCTTTTCGCATTCTTTTTTCTTCTTGCTCCTCTGATTGAATGAATTCTACTGCCATGCCCTTGTGTTTGCCGATCCATCCTTCCACTTTTTGTAGTCTGCTATTAAAACCCCCTCTGCTGAAATTTCCAGTTTAGTTATTGTTCATTGTTTTAAACCAAAAATTTTGAAATGAGCATCAAAAACCTCTAGGTCTTTGGTCACCAAATACAAACAAGCCAGCAAGATGGGGGCCTTAGAAATGAGATTTACCATGTCCTGGATTTCAGGTCTGGAAATCTCCAGATCAGAGCACAAATGAACAGCAAGGACCATGGCTGCTCACTGTTCAGGAGATCCAATTTGATCCATCCTCTAAGCAGGGGCCACAAGTTAAATATGGCCTGCTGCCTGCTTTTATAAAGTTTTACTGGAACCACAGCCCTGTCCATTCATTTGTGTATTGTCTAAGGCTGCTTTCTCACCACCACAGCAGTTTAGTAGATGAGACAGAGCCCATAAAGCCTACAAAGTGCTCCTCTGGATCACATGGACCTTGCTGAGTCCACAGCAAAGCCTGTCCCCAAATTCTGGGAGCTCAGGAGTAAAGAGCAAGGAAGAGCAATGCTATAAAACTGTCCAAAAGTTATAGATGTTTTTAAGGATAAGTGACTAAATCGTAGTTTTTTGACAAACATTTCATATTTATTAAGGGATATAATCAACAAAATATTCAGGTAAGGCAACATTTTTAAAAGCAAAATTTTATTGTGTAAAATTCTATATAGGAAAAGTACAGTAACAACTTCAAACCTATAGCAACTAATTTTTATGGTTCAAATCACAGTGCCAAAAATACACGGACATTTTAAATTTCACTAAAAGGAAAAGATACTATAGAATGCATAGTTGCAGAAAGCTATAAAAAGTCACTTTAAAATTAGACTGCAAAAAAAAATCCTACATAGTGTACGTAGGTTGTTGTCCATGTCCCAAAATAACACCATTTATGTTAGCAATTCTTAAACCTTCATGGTTATAAACCACAAGCACATCCATACAAAGACAAACCATTTTCATCAAGTCAGTGGCCAAATTGTTAAAAGGGCCATAATTAAAGTTGGGCTTTACACAGTGTTGAGGTTCCTATCAGAGGGGCTACTGCACAACAGACTTCCTGGAATCTCATGACAAGGTGCATAAGTGAATTAACAAGGCTGTACTGGAATGAGAGCTGCTCACTTCCCAGCGACTATGGCTCCCTGAAAACCAACAAGGAGCATAATGAGGTACAGATCCCAATAGATTATTTGCTCACAAATGTGTAAAATGCAAAGTGTAAATTATTCCGACAATACGTTTAAAGTGCTTCAGAATTAATACTGTTTTGGTCATATTTTCTACTTTCCAAAGGAGATCATTTTCTCTGTTTTGGCTAAATGATACATGGTAATTTACACTAGAAATGGTAAAATCAAAGAAAACTCTGTTGAGTTTTTAAAAAGATTGTTTCTATGCCACCAGTTTCTAGTTTCTTTTTAAGGAGTCAATTCACCTTGCAGGTTATATTCCAGACTAATTTTACACATTTCTAATCCATGGAATTTGGAATGCGAGCTCACCCTTGTCACAACTGTGGCATGCGTGTTGACTCATTCTGCCTCTTTGCTCTTCCTGGAACCAGCCCCTGTTGAATCTTCTGCCTCAGCCCTCCGCCCAGCACGGCCCTCCTCAGAGAATCTTCCACCACATTCACGTGCTCTCATGCGAGCTCCTGGCTGGTACAGCGGCAAGGACGGCCGGTCCTGCCAGGACAAAAGGATGGGTCACTGTTCCAAGAGCTGGCAGTTCAGGAGCGAACAACGTCTATTATTTTTAGGGACTGAGAATCTTAATTATGATACTCTTGCAGCTACAAATCAGCCTTTTTCACAGCACTATTTCAAAAATGAAGCATTTCGAGGAAAAAAAAAAAAGCCATGAAAATAGAGTTAATGTGTTATTGCTCAAACATAGAACACTGTGGAAATTGTATAACATGGCATTCTCCTCCCAGTTTGAGAGCTGACAGGTCTCACACACAGCTCAGTGCCTCAAATTTGCCAGGCAGTGAACCTGAGGTCTGAAGCAAAATGAGGCATGGCCCCTTACAGGGAGGGCTTTTAGAGTGCTAAACAGTTAACAACATTCATAATAAGCAGTTTCTGAGTGGATTATTTCTGAACTGTCCCCTTTATAGAAAATACTAACCCATCATCTTATTAAACTTGTAGATGTAGTGGAATAGAAACAAAGACTGAATAAAGTACACAAAATGCAATCAAATAGTTTCCAGGCATGAGGACCATGAAACTAGAGAAGGACAGTACAGTTCTGAAGGTTGGGACTGGTAATCCCAGTGGGAACAATTGCTCCTCTCAGGGAAGCCAGCACTCAAGGACAGGGAGGGAGCAATCCCATCCCAGCTCAGCGGAGCTTAGAGCCCAGGGAGGACACACCTGTCCTCAGTGCTCCTTCCTCGCCTTCGTGTATGATGGAGCAGCAGCAGCCTCAGCCTTTCCACAGCCACCTGGAGCGCAAGGACAGTGCAACTAGAGTGGGCATGTCCCACTGCTGTTTCTTGCACCCTTACCCGTTCCTGGCGGAGGCCTCACAGTCACCACCTGGGTTTATCAGATTGTTCTGAATATAAGCCTGGCCAATGAGAAGATGGGAAAGGGCTCAGTAGGCCCCATGGATCTGAATCCCTGCGGAGGCCAAGATGCAGGCTTCACAGACCACCATCTCAGGCCAACATGCATGGCTCTGCTTTCCACCAGGGTAACATCGATTGTGTATAGAGTTCAAAACTGATTGTAAAAGCATGTCATACCCTGCCAGGCCTGATAAGAAAGGAGCTATTACACATAAAGCACGTTATCACTGCTACGGCACTGGAGACTTAATTGAAAGGAGTCATCATGAGTTCCCACACCTATAGCTGTGCAAATGCCGAAACCACTCACTCCTGTTAAATAAAAAGGCAGTTGAAAAACAAGTGTTCATAGGAATAACCCCCACCAATGAGACCCATGCCTGTACTCGGTGTACCCAAGGTTAGGGCAACTTTAGAAACCCTTTCCAATACAGGCTTGATCAGTCAAGGGTGAAGCTAGAAGGGTCAGGCTTTTCTGAAGATCTCCCTTGCCTTTTACTGGAAACATTTAGAAAATCGATATCACTAATACCACATAGAACTTGGATGGATCTGACGGGAGCCATACTGAGTGAAAAAGCCAATCTCAAAAGGTTGCATATTCTTATGTTTCTTTCCATTTATATAGAGTTCCTGAAATGACAAAGTCAGAGACAGAGCACAGAGAGTGGCCGCCAGGGTCAGGAAAGAGCTGGAGGTGGGTGTGCCCTGCAGCCTGGGCAGCCGCAGTCCCATTTGCTCTCCCCGAGGGCGGGCTTTGGGGGGCGGGACGGACAGCATCATGGGGCCTGGCCCTGGAAGGGAGATCACCCTATTTATAGTGCTTCTCTGTGACAATGTGATTTGAATACAAATTAACCTCAAATTTCTAGAAGAAAACCTGTTTGTTTGACGAAGTGGGTAATCTCAATCCTCTGCTGATACTGCAGATCTAACTTCTGGGTGTTTATGAGCCATTTGATTGTCCATTAACCATCAGACATTGTTAATAATGAAAAAGAAAGCTCCATTAAATATCATTAATATTTTCTTTTCTGTATTAGAGGTAAATATCATAAAATACTCTTATTTATTCTCAATCAAATGGTATGAATGGGATAGTTTTATACTAAATAAAAGCCTATTTTTTCCCTGGTGAAAAGATGATAGCTAGTTCTATTTGTCAATCTGTCATTCAGCACTTGGCACCCACTAAGTGGACAAGAATCACTGCTCTAGCAAATAGAGACCCTCAGGGCAGTGCATCCCTAAGATAACGCAGGATCCAGTGTAGACGGGCCTCTCAGGGTCGGAGGGTGCGATCCTGTCCCTCAGACCCTATGTAGATTTTCCTTTTCTGGTGAAATGAAAGAATTTCTGTTTGGAAAAGCAGTCCTAAGCCTGCAGAAGTACAGTTCATACTTTAGCACAAACACATGAATAAGGGATTATGCCAAATAAAGAAAAGAACCTTGTTTCGCACGTTCGCCTTTCTGGGTGCCAGGCCATCCTCACTCTTCTGTTCCCTCCCTGGTCTCTCTGTTGCTTCCACAGGGATGCCACGGTCCTGGCTCCCTGCCTTCCCTCTGTCTGGGGTGAATGCTTTCCCCAAGTTCATCTCTTCGTTTCTTCTGGAGAACTTGTCAAACTCATAGTGAGCTCTAAGCTTTCTGCTGTCATCCAAGTGGTATTTTTGTGTTTCAAGTTCTTTTTCTCGAAATTTCCTCTCCATTTCCTTTTGCTCTTTATCACTGTCATTGTGTGACCTATGATTTAATACAAATTATCAGTAACCTTATGTAAACTGCTTGTCAATTACCTATCTTTCCTTCCAGGGTAAAAGTTCCAGAAAAGGCAGGGAATATGTCAGCCTGCCCATTGCTTTATGCCCAGTTTGCACATGATGGGCATTCCACAGGCATTAAATTAAAATGCTATTGAAAAGATGAATATTGTGTTAACACTATTCACTGTTACACTTGAGTAACACGTATGTATTAAGTCCTATGCTAATGTACCAGATACACATATTTTTTAAATTCTTAGTAACCCCCCAGAGTAAATACATTTCCCCCTTATTCCCCCTGTAAAGTAAATGAGACTTCACATGGTCAAGAGACTTTCCCAGTAGCCCAAATGCATATCAATCATGAGAGCTGATACTGACAGCTTAGTTTCTGCTCTAACTATAACTGAAATTTAACAATACTTTTGTATATGTCAAACTATTAAATCAATAGTAAACAAGTAAGTGGCTGGTTAACTTATATGGTTCTTAAAAGTCTTTCCCTCATGAACCACAAGCAAAAGTCCTCATATACCATCTCTGGATGCTGTACATACAGAAGGAGCAGGACTGGTGGGGATGAAAAGATCTATAAGTCAAGTGTGAATTGGTGCCAGAAACGTGACAAAAGGCATTGTTGTATCACAAGCAATAATACAAATATCTGCAACACAAACCACAATGCTAACAAATCAGAACTGATATCATGTATAAGTTAACTTTATATGCAAACCAATAAACCAGAACCCCCAAAAAGAGGAAAAGGAAGGTCTACATAACTTAGTGTGCAAAGAAGGCAGTACTAAGTCTTCCAGATTACTGTGGTCCTGGGCAAACAGCAGCCTAACCCACAACCTTGCCCTCTGAACTCGAATCCACTTCCAGCCACTCCTGTGAGCAGAGCAACTCTAGCCTCGGGGAAGTTCTGCGAGTGTCCAAATGCAGTGCATGAGTAGGAGCCCTGGGTCAGGGGGCAAGAAACCCAGCTGCATGTGGCCCCACTGACTGGGAGGAGATGACCAAACCCAGGGCCAGGGACAAGATGAGGGGTCTACCTTTTGACAGACATCTCACTGGACTTTCCCTGGACCATGTGCTGAGAGTGCTATGTCTGTCTTGTCCCCAGAGAAGTCCTGCCCAAGCTCCTTTCAATAGCCTCCTGTCATAAGCACGCAAATGCCTATGTACCAAAGGACCCCCAGAGGGAGGGAGGCAGGGATGGGAGAACACCAGGATCTAGAGCTATGGGTCAAATTTCGTGGGACCAGAGGGGAAACAACTCCAGCAAAGGAATTAGAGCACTTAGAATTCTCTTTAGCACAAAAGACTTTCAGCGCCTAAAGACTAAGTTCTCAAATTTATAATTCCACAGACAAATGGAAGGAGGTCCGGAATATCAAATAGGCAAAATATCTCAAAACACACAGGAAAATCACAAACTGATAAAAATTACAAGGAAAAGAGACTGAGAAGAAGACCCTGAAGACATAGAGTGCAATAACAGAAACCCAAAGGGAATAAGAGAAGGACATTTCCTTTGTTCAAAGATAGGCTTGCGGCTGCAGACTAATGGGCTTACCAAGTTTCTAGAACAACCAAAGAGAAACAAAAATGTGGACAAGCATTCAAGAATTCCAAGAATGTTATGAAATATATGCACTCAAACTGACAAAGGATATACGACTACGACTTGATGACAATCCTATGAGGCTTAATGTGGTCAAAGAAATAGAAGTGCGGGGCTCACTTTTCCCTGCGCTCCTCTGGCAGGTTGTCCCAGGGCTTGGCCTTCACGACAGCACAGCCAGGACAGGCTTCCCATTGTCCATCTCCAGTATCAATTTCCTCTCCTGGTTCTTTTGGTTTCTCGGTGGCTGCTTCCTCTCCCTTTTCTGGTTTCTTAAGAAGCTAAGAAATTATGATGTTAGTAAAATACCACTTTAAGAGTATATTATAAAAGAGGTCACTTAATAAATAATTACAAATATATACCAATATTGAGCCCAAATGTTTGAACAGCAAAAAATGTAAGATAAAGGTCCAATGAACAGGTTTTCAGTTCAACACTTAGGGCAACATTCAGTCAATGAAACATTCTGTATTTATGAAAAATGATTTAGGATAGTTAATGTGATGACTCAATGCTTGTATTAATGAATGTAGGAATGTTACAAAAAAAAGAATGATTTGATTCCTATTTCTATTTCTGCTGATACACACACAGAAAAATGTCTAGAAGTCTTGCAACACTGTGTTAATAGTGATTATTTTTAAGTGGCAGAACTGAAACAATTTTCTTTCCTTTCACCTACAGGTTCTAGTTTTTCTAAAATAAAAAACTATTACTTTTGTAATAAGGAAAAAGACATTTTTAAAATGGTTGCTTTATATTAATGACTTTTAGGACAGTTTTAGAGTTTTCAAAACCCTTATCATTCCCCTTCTTAAAACAGACTTAGCAGGTTGCTATGACACATTAGTGCTCCTTTCTTTGGGCCTTCCGCCATGTTAGTTCCCCATAGAACTTCCTACTCTTCAAAGTTTAAGTACCACAGGTAGTCAGCTTGCAGAACATAAATGGAAGATCTACTTCTGAGAATTTTGTTTTCACTCACAAAAGTAAACGTATTTTAAATTGCAAAGTATAGCAAAATTATAAACAGGTACATTTAGACTAAATTAGCCCATTTAAAAAAGAAACAGATATAATGTAAGGCAATGATCCCCAATCTTTTTGGCACCAGGAGCTGGTTTCGTGGAAGATAATTTTTCCACAGATGGGGGCGGGGGTGGGGGATGGTTTCAGGATGATTGAAGCACGTTGCATTCAAGCTCACCTCCTGCTGTGCGGCCCGGTTCCTACAGGCCAGGATTGGTACTGGTTCATGACGCGGAGGCTGGGAACCCCTGATGTAAGGCAAAACACTGAAGCCACTTCTCATCAAAGGTATGCATTATGTTACCTGTGTATATGCTCTCATTCTGCCTATGTGGGATATGTGAATTTAAACATTTCTTTCAGATAATTATCAACCTTTTTTTAATTACAAAAATAACACATGCTTCTAATAAATGCAATTGAAGGAGGTCTGGAAGTACAGTAGCATGTGTCTCCATCCATCCATCCCTCCATCCATCCATCCATCCATCCAACAAATAATTTGTGCACCTGTGCACTGTTTTCACTCGCAATACTTCTGAAACCAAGTGTGTGGTATTGTTTCAAACACCACTTCCGCAACTTCCAACACAGGCTGGTGTCCTACGATTCAATTCAGTTCTGACCCTATCTATCTGGAATTAATGTCAGATCCCACAAGACTGTCCCCACTTCAGATGCCACTGGTACTCCTGACTGAATAGCTATAAATTCAGGGGGTTCTTGAATGAGACTGACTCATGGAACTCAGGAGTGTTTCACTCACTATTACTGGTCTGTTATAAAGAATTCAACTCCAGAACAGCCAAATGGGAGAAATGCATAGGGCAAGGTACAGTGAATGGTTCAGAGTTTCCACTCCCTTTGCAGGGATACCACCTTCCTGGCACCTAAATCTGTTTACCAGATTGGATACTCTCCAAACCCCATAGAACAGGCTTTCACAGAGGTTCCACTACACAGGACTGAGTAAGTCACTGGCCATTGGAGACTGAACTTGTTCTCAGCACCACTCCCCTCTCTGGAGGTCAGGGGGTAGAGCTGCAAGTTCCAACCCTCTAATCATGTCTTGTCCTTCTGGTGACCAGCTCCTACCCTGAAGCTATCCAGGGTATCAGCCACCATCACCACATTATTATAAAGAAGACATCTCATCACTCCAGAGATTACAAGGGTTGTAAGGGTATGTGCCAGGAACCAGGGAAAAAGACCCTGTGCTACATGCTAAGAATATAGCTGTGAATAAGAGACAAGTGCCCACCATTAGTGAACTCACCCTTGATACTCTAGCTGTGACAGTGGTGGCCGTGGGGTGGAAGACTGGCATATGCAATGACAAAAACAGAATACCGTGAACAAGATAACCTCAGGTGGTATGAAATGCTACAAACAGAATAAAAGGACAGAAAGATATCAGGTGAGAGGAGGAGGAGGAATGGTTTCTCAAAAGGGTTAGGGAAGGCCTCCCTGTGAAAATAAGACGTGAACAGGGACCAGATGATGAGAAGGAGTCACTTATGAGAAGGCATACGCCTTGGGGAAGAGCTCACCATGGAGAAAAAGCAAGCAGAGGCCTCAGGTACAATTAGCCTGGCAAAGGGTGGAAGAAAGGAAGGAAGGAAAGAAGGAAGAAAGGAAGGGAGTGAGGGGCAAGCCAGGGGCACATGACACAGGAGGCGGTAGAAGCAGATGCCCATTCTGGTGTGGTTCTGTCCAGCCCTCGTCTGCGCTCCTTCTACCTGCCTGTAACCAGCTGTCAGAGACACACATCTGTTTTTAAAGAGTTTCATGAAAAATATCACACAACATTTTGTAGATAATATAATCCATACTATATAAATTATATATTCTGGAATTTTATTTGTAACTTTGGTAGCCTAAGTTCCTCCTTCAACTTAAGCTTACTGCTTAGTTTTAGTCCTAACAGGAAAATAAAAAACTGCTGGGTTGCTCTCCTGTTTCACGCTGTTGTATCACATTTGTCTTTTTTGCTAAAAATAGCTGTGAGGAAATCTCTCTGACTTTCTATTTTTAGGCCATTAATACAAATTCTTTTGGCATTTCTTCACAGACTTTGTTTTTCAGGGGTTTTTTTCTTAAATTTAAATTATCCAAAGTCAGAGATGATTCATAAGTCAGAGATCCCCAAACTGAGCAAAGGTGCTTATTAAAGGCTACTCTTTAAACTTGGGTCAGATGTGTATTGGCAGGTCAGAACACCAGACACTGCTAAGGACAGAAGCTATGGACTTCTCACTCCCCGGGGTCTGACCTGCCACCAAGATTTGGTTCCACCAGATTTGGACAAGACTCTTTCTCTTGTTGTGTTTAAGTTTTAATTTCTTTTTTTCTATATGAAGGATCCTACCTTTACTGACTTAAATTTATTTTTATTTCTTTGACTTATTTTGGATTTTAATTTCATTCTCCAAACTGAAAAAGTAAAATGCTATACTCCAAACACTTGAGGTCTTACTTAAAATTATGGTTGAAATTGTAAGTTACAAGTTTCAGTGCTATTCTTCCCAAAAAAACTTTCAAAGCTGTTGATGAAAGTGCTTTTGAGAATGTAAGAGCATTAGGCACGGAGAGAGCTACGCTCTTTGTCTAAAAAGTAAAATGAAAATGTTAGGCAATATTCACACATCTGTGACCATAAAATTTGCATTAAATGTATACCTACATTGTCTCTGGTCATGACAGAGCTGAATTTCTACAATGTACAAAGATATTTCCTATAATACTAAGGTTTCATTTTATTTGTTATTTGAGGTTAGGTGGGGTCATGTGGCTTTGGCCAGTGAAATGTGGGCAGAGAGGTCAGTCACTTCTATGTGGAAGGTTTAAGAACTAGTGTGCAATTTGCCATATTACACATTCCCTTCCCTGTCATAAATATTTTAGAAACAAATGCTAAAATGGAGCCTCTGAGCCTGCCTGGGTCATTAGATGGCTATGACAAGTAATGGACAAGTGACGTGAACAAGGATAGAACTTGAATTTTACAAAGCCAGTAAGATTTTGAGACTATTTGTTACTGCAGCATAATCTAAGGTGTCTGACTACCAAAAATATCAGAAACTAATCTATGGCACAAGGATGGCAACTATGATCTCTTCCCCATCTTTTCCCTTTCTATTCTCTATCTTCCCCCAAGTACTGACCTTTGATTTTTTTTCCTTTATATCACACAATTTTAATGAATCCCAATAGGGCACTTTATGCCCTTTATGGAATGAGGTAAGAAGCACATTAGGTTGAAACCTATGTTTAATAAGGTCATTTGAGCAAAATACTAAGAAGGCAAGGGCTGACTCCAATTTGGGGCAACAATATTTTACATGGAGAAAAGTTCCTCAATGAATGAAACCATCCCCCTAAACTACTGCATCAGGCAAAGGAGAAATTGGGCAAGAGATGCAGACACCATCTCTATGAGAAACCCAGTTCTATGAGTCAGCCTTCACATAGCAAGGCACTAGCCAGTGGTTTTCAAATATGTATTTTTTCGTCAGGAAATCTTTTTGTTAGAGGAAAATGTAAGCAGGAGCCCAAACTATAATATCAGTACTTAAATGTGGGGCTCCTTGGGGTGAAGTGCTCCCCTCAGACCCAGAAGGCTGGTCCTCCTCCACCCTTCTATCCGCCCAGTCCTCCCAAACACAGAAAGCCCAAGGAAACATGAGGGCTCAGAGAACACAGTTTGAGAACTACTACTGTAGAATAGAAAAAGGGAACTAAATTAAAAAAAAAAAAAGACCAGACAAACTGAAAATATTCTTTTACTTCTAGAGAGCTAAAATACTTAGAAGACATAATTAGGAAAACAGAACTATTTTTGGAAAAAAAAAAATAAAAAGTCTCCTCCAAATTACCTTAATCCTTACTTCTTTCTCAGCAATTTTCTTTTGTTTGTCTATTTCTTTTCTCTTACATTTTTCTTCTTCTCTTCTCTTTCTTTTTTCTTCTTCTCGTATGCGTTTCTTTTCCAACTCCCTTCGTCTTCGCTCTTCTCGCTTCTCTTCTCGAATTCTCTAATGAGGTGGAAAAGCATGTGTATGAATTATCTGCATGGATGTGGTAGAAACAGGCAGGATATTCATCAAGTAAAAGATGAGACATACCTGCTTTTCTAATTTTCTATTTTTAATGTATTCCAAAAGAGGTGTGGTTCTTCTAGCTAAAATTTAAAAAATTGTAATGGAGTATTTAGCTCAAAAATAAAATTTTTCTTTGTCTTAAATACTTGTTTTTAATATAATACTTAAGATAATTAAGGTAAGAATATTATCATTTTTACAGTTTGACATTGGATTGTGGTGGGTTCTTATTCCATCACTATAAAGTCAAGTAATTTGGAAGCACTGACAATTTCACAGATAGTAGGCATTTAATTCCTGATTGTTAAAGGAGTCATAGGTTACTCACAGAGATGGTATAAAAGCAAAAAAGCAAAATGAGTACAATGCATTAAACTTCCCAAATGTTATATATGCACAATTTTGCAGATATTTTAAATCATTACATAACACATATATATATTCACTTTGATTCAACACATATTCTGGCAATTTCTTCTTTTTCGGCTCTCTACACAATGGTTCTAGGCATTGTGAATTTTTATATTTTCTTCTTCTTTTTTTTTAAAGGATAGGTGTGTTTTAGAGATTTTATTTAATTACTTTTTTAAGAGAAAAAGGGAAAGGGAGGAGAGAAATGGCAATGTGTGAGAGAAACATCGATTGGTTGCCTCTCACATGCCCCCACCTAGGGACCTGGCCCGCAACCCAGGCATGTGCTCTGACAGTGAATTGAACCAGCGACCTTTCAGTTTGCAGGCTGGCACTCAGTCCACTGAGTCACACCAGGTAGGCTCTTAGGGCTCTTATACTTTCTTACAATATATGCTCCATAAATCAGAATAACCAGAAGTAAAAGCTTAGAAAATAATTCCATATGGCACTGCTGACCTAAAAATTACTAAGTACTCAGGAATAAAGGTCTCCACAAATTCTCAGTGGATCCTCAACTTTCATGCCCCTGACCTGTCTGACCTGACCTAGATGTTGGGTGCCCAAACATGTGGCAGACCTCCAGGTGCTACCCCCGAGGGACTGGCTCCAAGAGGTATGTGCTCCCTGTGGCAGTGGTTGAAGACTTAGGTGAGGGGTGGAAGACAGCTTGGGTCTATAGTAAAAGTCTTTGAGACCTCAGATTAAATGAAGGAAGGAAGGAAGAATCCTTGGATGCACTTGAAGACTGACATGACATTTCCAGAATTTGAGGATGGGGAATGAATCAGAAATTATTAGAGAGCCCCTGGCCAGGGGTTCCTAACTTGGAATTGAGGACTCCTGAATATCCTGACGTTACCTATCAAACTTACTGTGGCAGGTTCCCGGCCACAGTAAAGAGCTGACACGGTGCACATGCTCACCTTTCATCACAGGCAAGGGGAGCCAAGAAGAGAACCCCACCCCCTGTGAGGCCCCGGTTTTCACAACAAACTCTGGTCTAAGATTAGTTAGCACAGCTGATGCACTTCATAATAAGCAGGTTACCCCAAATTAGGGAGGACTCTGCTCTGTGCCATGGAAGTTTTGCCAAGGCAAGGGCCAAGACCTACTTTGGTGCATGAAAGAGCTGAACTGAGACCGTACCTGCCTTCCTTCTTCTCCAACAAAATACCTGCCATGTTACCCCTGAAGAATCAATGTGAAAGGAAAATGAGACCATGTACAAGAAAGTACTTTGCAAACCACAGAAGTGTATTATTTATTAAATAGAGGATATATATATGACCATGTAATATACTAATTTAACCAATAGTATAACTGTTACCACCTACAGACAGCCAATGCACAGAAGACACCATCACCATAGTCTTTGCAGACCAGGACCCAAGTTGGGGGCATGTGAGAGGCAGCCAATCAACGTATCTCTCACATGTTGAAGTTTCTTTCTCCCTCCTTTCCCCTCTCTCTAAAAATAAATAGTAAAATCTTTTTTAAAAAATTGGGAGGAATACCTTGGGAGCAAGCAACCCCAGCCCCAGGCCAGATGGCACAGCCTAGGGTTCCAGCACCAGGAAGATAAAACCCCATAACTTCTGGTTATAAAAAGCAGTGGGGGTTGGGGTGGCGGAAGAAATGGCTGGATTTTCAGGAGACTCCATTTACAGGATCCTCATGGACTCAGAACACATGCAAACCCATCCACTCTGTGATTCAGCACCAGGGTAACAGATGGAAGGGGGCCAGTTGCACACAAGAAGTCATTGAAGTGACTAGAAATGGGGTAACGGACAAACCTTCAGAAGCCCGGCAGAGGCATTGTCCACTCTCTGAGCCCTCTCCCTACACAGAGCCACAAAGTGGTGAAGCAGGTTTCCCTGCTCTGGTGATTACCTAAATCTCCGCCCCACACAATTTACAGGTGCCTTTTCTAAAATAGGCCATCCTACTAAGACATGGAGTCAAAGGAGCTCTATCTAATACACAGAAACAAACACAGGGAGACTGCCAAATTGAGGAGATAAAGAAATACTGCCAAATGAAAGAACAGAACAAAACCACAGAAAAAGAACTAAATGAAATAGACATAACCAACCTATCTGATACAGAGTTCAAAACACTGGTCAGGATGCTCAAAGAATTCACTGAGTATGACAACAACAAAAAGGAAGAAATGAAGGTTACACTAAGTGAAAAAAAAATTTATAGGGAACTATCAGTGGAGGGGAGGAAGCCAGGATTCAAATCAACTATTCGGAACATAAGAAAGAAATAAACATTCAACTGGCTCTCTACACAATGGTTCTAGGCAAGAAAAAACAGGAATTTAAAAAAACAAGGACAGTACAAGGAGCCTCTGGGACATCTCCAAATGTACCAATATCCAAATCATAGGGGTGCCAGAAGGAGAAGAGGAAGAGCAAGAAATTGAAAACTTATTTGAAAAAAATAATGAAAGAAAACTTCCTTGATTTGGCAAAGGAAATAGACACACAAGGCCAGGAAGCACTAAGAGTCCCAAACAAGTTGGACCCAAAGAGGAACACACCAAGACATATCATAACTAAAATGCCAGAAGTTAAAGATAAAGAGAGAATCTTAAAAGCAGCAACAGAAAAGCAGAGAGTTACCTTCAAAGGAGTTCCCATAAGACTATCAGCTGATTTCTCAAAAGAAACTTTGCAGGCAAGAAGGGACTGGCAAGAAGTATTCAAAATGATGAAAAACAAGGGCCTAAAACCTAGATTACTCTATCTAGCAAAGCTGTCATGTAGAGTGGAAGGGCAGATAAAGTGCTTCCCAGGCAAGGAAAAGCTAAAAGAGCTCATCATCACCAAGCCATTATTACAAGAAATGTTAAAGGAACTTATTTAAGAAAAAAAAGAAGATCAAAACTATGAACATTAAAATGGCAACAAATTCACAACTATCAACAACTGAAATCTAAAAAAACAAACTAAACAAACTACCAGAACAGGAACAGAATCATAAATATGGAGATCACATGGAGGTTTATCAGCTGGGTGAGGGAAGGGAGAGCATGGGGGAAAGGTGCAGGGATTAAGAAGCATAATTGGTAGGTACAAAATAGACAGGGGGATGTTAAGTATAGTATAGGAAATGAGAAGCCAAAGAACTTATATGCATGACCCATGGACATGAACTAAGGGGAGATAGCTGGAGGGAAGGGCAATATTGGGTGGAGGGGGGCAAAGAGGGAAAAATTGAGACAACTATAATATAATAAACAATGAAATATATTTTAGAAAGAAGAAGAAGGTAAATTATAAGCAGCATAATATCCTATTCTGCAATTCTTAGTGAGTGGGCAGGAGGTAGACATGGGGAGGGGGAGGATGGGGAGCTGGGCCTTGAGGGGCAGCCTGGAACTGATTAGAGAGACAGGCAGAAAAGGGAACACATTAGGCATGTTTGGGAGCTACAAGCAGAGTGCCAGATCACAGTAAAAGGTGTTTCGTGTCTACTCTTGAGTTTTTTGGGACTGCTCCTTGGAGATAACCACTTCTAAAAGACACCACTTGCAGGCGAAGAGCAGAAGGTCTGATTCAAACCAGATTCAATTCTCTGGCTGGGTTTATCCACTCATTTGTTTGGCTTGTTCAGGAGACTTGATATGTTTTTAAACAGCAGCAAGATGACCTCATACGGAAGCCAAGTATCTTATTTCTGTGATTGGTCTTTGAAAAGATACTGACCTCAACCCTGAGATATAACACTCTTTCCCCAATACAGCCAAGAACAGAACACTCGAATGTCTTTTCTACTGTTAATTCATCACAACTTTGAAGGAAGATGAGTGTACCTGAAAACTCAGGCTCCCCCATCCACAGACTCTGAGTATTTCCCTAAGCTGCCGTCTTGTTATTATTTTATCAAAACTAGGAAATATTCTTTGTTTCTACCAAACCTGTCACAAGTGCCAATTTTTTATGAAAATCATGAAAAACAAGAAATAAGTACATACCCTATAAATACATATCTCAGTAAAGTAAAGGGAAGAAATTAGCAAAACAGACCAATAAGTTCTCTTGTCTTTGCCTCTATGTCTCCCAGAAGAGTTTCAGGATTGGCACTAACTTTCTCTTCCTCCAAGAAATAAGTTTCTAAAAACTTCTTATATTCTGGATCTGTAAATTGAAAAAGAAAATAAATACACTCCTTCATATAAAGGAAAGAAATTATATTTGATCAGTGTATTTAATTGGGTAGTTTCATCATCCAGTCTTTGAAAAAGGACTCACCATTGTCAATGCTTCCAGTTTTGGCATCTTTTTTCTTTAGCTTCTTTTTGGCTATCTTCTGGAATGGAGCAAACTCTACCACTGCAGGATACTCTAGGCCTTTAACCAGAAACAAATTCCAAAAATCACTCTAAAATTCTACTATATTCATTTTAGAAAAGAATTATCTAGTGTTCAGAATGAAAGTCATTAGAAATTTGTTTTGTTGTTATGTGGGGTGGAGGAAACATAAAAAAGAAATGATCACTAAGAGAATCTGCTATATGCTTAATCAACAAATGGAACACTCTACCTCTGTAGTGCTAAACCCACCAAATAATCACTTTTATACTTGCCAGGAATGACCAGGTGACTATGATATTGTTATTCCCCCATTACCTGGAAGACACATGCTAAAACATTAGTGGACCATGAAACATTTTGCTAAGTGTAATAATCCAGTCAGAAAAAGGCAAATACTGTATGATTCCAATTCTATGAGGAATCCAGATTATTTAAATTCATAGAAACAGAAATTAGAAGCATGGTTGCCAAGGGCTATGGACAGGGAGAAATGGTGAAAGTTGTTGTTTAATGAGTACAGAATTTTTTCATCTGCAAGATGAAAAAAGTTCTGGAAACTGGCTGTACAACAATACAAACATACTTAACACTACTGAACTGTACACTTAAAAAATAGGACGGTAAAATCATGTAATGTGTATTTTACCACAATTTTTAAAAAGAAAAGAAAAAAGGCTAATGAATGAATTACTGCATAAATGAGCACTTAACACAAATATCAAATGGTTCAAGAATTAAATTTGCTTGTTTTGCTTGAGCAAAAATCTCGTGGCCCCAGCCTAGTCACCCTTTAACCATCTTTTCCAGTTTGTGACCCCTCAGTGGAGGGGAAAAAAACGCCTGTCAGTATGGGAGTGAGGTGAAGTGGAAAGAAGCTGGTTGATGAGGAATGTATAGAAAACAATATGCTGTTAAAAATGTACAGACATGATAGCAGCAAACACAATGGCTAACAGTCTGACAGGAAAGGAGGAAAAGGAAAAAAGAATATCAAAAGCAGGACCCAAAATGTGCAGAGGATTGGAACCATTTAGATAGAGGTAAATTACCTGGTATCAGTAGACAACGATATTAAACATGGTCAAAAACTGATGTTTAATATTATAATCACCTACTCCCATGACATTATCCAGAAATGATATAATTTTGAATAATACTCTGTTTAGGGAAACAATAATATAAATGAGTAATATTTTCATATTATTCATATTCATACTATTAACCCATGGTTAATAATACAATTTTTATTAACCATGGGTAAAATAATTTAGTTTGGAGACATAAAAAAGTAAAGTTCACTTATCTAGAAAACTCATTTACTCATTTATATAAAATATTTCAATCTCCAATGATAATATATAAATAGGTTGTCACTATCACATAATTGCTAGGATTCTTTCATTTATATATAATTTTAATTTTTAACAAAAGCACACAATACAATCATAACAACATGATGTAAATTTACACATCGCTGTAGATTAGTATATGAAAGCTTAAACTCTCAAATATTCCAGCAAAGCTTAATGTACATAAGAATGTAACAAGGAGTTTAAAAAGCTAATAACCCAACCTTTATTGTCAATGAAGATATATCCATCAAAACGATCTCTAAAAAGAAGAATGTCGTCAGGATTTCTAAAATTAATGTATGCTCTTGAGTAGAGATGAGGATAAAGACTGAAATAAGAAATAACAGTGAAAGCGGTTAGTAAAATATATGACTTCTTTAATTTTGCCTTTTTTCCCCTTGCCTGGATACAACAAACTACTTCAGATAAAACCTCTATGGCAAAGATTTCTCTCTCAGTAAGTAACAACAATCTGCATATTCTTTAGCAAAGACAAACAGACAAGAAACAAACAAAGCATTAACTAAAATCTCTTTAATGACTTGGGAGAGATCCTGTAGGTTAGTTTCTCTGTTGCATGGAGCCAGAGTTACAACATTGGTTCTCAGGGGTTGAAAACCAAAGGCAAGGTTATTCAAATGTCATGCCTCCTCATGTATCATGGCTGCAATACAGCTAATTATAATTCCTTCATAGTAGAAAATGTTATATTGTAAAAAATATTATTGATTTAGAGAACACTTAGAAAAGTATTAACTGTAAAGACAAGTATTTATTGTAGCACATTGTATAGAGTCTATAGAAAAGCTAAGCCTTTCTCTGCTATCTCACAGCTACCAATTTCCTTCACAGGTATGGACTTTTTTTTTAACCCCATTTCACAGATGAGAACACTGAGGCTCAGAGAAACTACATAATTGCAAAGGGTGCAGTTAGTGAAAAGGTGGGACTAGGATTCCCAGCTGAGTCACTCTGGGTCCAGTGTCAATCTTCCTTCAACTGTACCGGGGCTGGCGATCAGCTCGGGGTCCATGCATCCCATGCCAGGACCCGCGCGGACACCCAGGCCAAGGGACCCCTCACTCATCCCCGAGGGCCGAGGTCCCGGCGTGAGGCCCGTGGAGCCACCGCTGGGGCGGGCGCCTCCAGGCCATGTTCGCCATCCAGCCGGGGGTAGCTGAGGGGGGCCAATTCCTGGGAGGCCCGTCTCCTGGAGTGTGTCCGCCTGAGGTCCAAGGAGACAGCAACTCCAACTTCATGGCGAGTGCAAAGGACGCCAATGAGAACTGGCATGGGATGCCAGACCAAGTGGAGCCCACCCTGGTAAGGAGCTCCTCCAAGTTGCCCTCTGACAACCAGGCCTTCCAGGTCCCTGGACTCCCGGAAGGAGAGGTCCGCAGCCCACCAGAGGGGGCAGAGTTTTAATCATTTGAAATTTTAATAATTTGAAAATCATCTTTTTTTTTAATCATTTGAAAATCATCTTTATTTTTTTAACTATTTGAAAATCATCTTTATTTTTTTAACCATACCTACATTTACCTATTAATTTTAATCATTTGAAAATCATCTTTATTTTTTTTAACCATACCTACATTTACCTATTAGTGGTATTTTTGTTGAATAGATTAACATTTTTTACTTCAATGCATTTATTCAAAAGGAAAGTTTTATGGCTACCATATTGGGAACTTATGAAATTGAAGATAAAAAGGGTAATAATGAAGATAATCATAAAAAATAGTGAAAAATCACTAAATCACAGCTGAACTGTCACCAGTTGAAGATGTCACCCAAAGTCAGTGCTCTCTTTGTTAATAAAAGGGAGATTTGAAAGTAAAAAGTGTTGTCAGAGTCAACTATGTACCCAAGTTGTACAAGGAATTGAAAAAGATACAATTTGAGAGGGGTGGGGTGGGGACTGGGTGCTAGTGATAGAAGGGACCACAAGACCACTTCTGGGGTCTGGAATATTCTGTTTCTTTATCTGTTGTTAGTTACATGGGCATGTTCAGTTGTGAAAATTCATCAGGCTACACATGTATTATTTATTCAATTTATTCTGTTATACTTAATACAATTTACATTAAAAAGCTACATGAGATATGGTTTGTTGATATCCAAAAACAAAAATTAAGTAGTAGGTTGTCAGTTGATCTAGTGAGTTGTTTTTTTTTTTTCTTAGACTATGGTGGTGTCAGTAGAAGCATATTTAGAATCTATTTTAGAGGGATTTAATGATCTGCCTACTTAGAAACAACTTGCAGAAATAAAGGACTGCACTGATTTCTGGGAACATGTGGGAAAGAAGATGGAAATAGAGATACCTTCTATTATCTATAATACTTTGCCAGAAAGTGACAACACCTCTCAGATTCTTAGTGTTGGTAAACAACTTCTCACCTGAGATCCGCAGTAAAGAACTCAAAGTAATCATGTGCAGGTAGCGGGTGCAGGTGCTCTTCCAGCTGCTCCTTGGTGAGGCTGGGAGGAAGGCGCCGGATAACCACCTGGAGAAAGGACGCTGGCTGGGTTTTGTTTCACTATTGCTATGTTAAGCTTTACTTATTTCAATGCTTGGTGACCTGTATTTATACTGAGAGGAAAACTTAAACCAGGAGTCCAGCAGAAACACACATTTTAGAAAAGGTTCAGAAAAACATACATGAGAACATGGCTGTCAAACGGATCATGAAGGCTGAATAATTGAAAAGGGTTCTTTGAGGTCACAAAAGCCTGTGCATAGCAGCTCTTTTTCATGTAAGCATTTCATTACTACCAGACAACTGTTAGCATGTCTGTGCTCCAGTTGAAAAATAACTCTCTGCATGTTAGGCCACATTAGAAGGTTAAGACCCATGCAAGGAATGTGTGTGTGTTGGAGTGTTTTTACCAAACAAACCAACAGCATTTGTTCTTACTGCCAAGAGTAACTCCGCCTGCGGTGGACACCTTTCGCCTCAAGTCCACAGCGTCTGCACTGCTGGCTCTGTCCCACTGCACCATCAGGCTTTCTAGGCTCTCTACCTTCCCAGCTTCTCTGGACCTTAAAGGATCTTCGCCTAACCGCACCACCTCCCTTTCGTGCACCCTCAGGTCCAGGTCCTCGACAGTGTGGACAACTACTACCCCTAGCTGGTAAGCCTAGCGTTTCTGCCCCAAAGTCCACCTCTGGAGGCTAAAAAGAATTTTCTTTCTCCCCAAATCCGAAAAGAAAATGTCAGAGTGCGCCAGAAACTGTCTCTGGCGTCATGAGGTGCTTAGGACAGCGCTGCCAGGCCACTGTCCGCGGTGCTGATACGGCCCCGCCGCTAGTGGCCCCGCCCCCGCTCCCGTCCACCAGTGCAGCTCCTCGGCCGCGCCCACTGGCCCGTGCTTGCATCACTGAGGCCCGCCCCTCCATCTCCTAGCCACCCCTTCGCCTCGCCCCGCCTCCACCTTGGTCTGGATCATCTTCCTTGAGACGTAGGCGAGCATCTCCTATACTCACCCCGCCCTCTTTCCTCGCTCCGCCTCCGCCTTGATAAGTCCTCTGGCTGCTGGCTCGCACCACCCTATCTAGCTCTTCTCCTCCTCCTCTAGTGAGGGTTGCCTGCACTGCTCCGCCCACCTGGCGTCCTTCCATGTTCCGGACTTTTACCATCCTCTGGAGTTTGCAGGCACCACCCGTTTTCGCCCCGCTCCACTCCGGGAAGGACCTTCTTCCTCTCGCGAATTTTGCCGGCGTCGCTCCGGCCTTACCCCGCCCCGTTTCTGGTCTCACACCCACCTTGCTCAGGACAGTCCTCTTCTCCTCGCGAGGTTTGCCTGCGCTGCCCCCACAGCTGGAGGACAAGGCTGGCGGTGCTCCTGCCTCTCTCCGTGGAGACTCCTGTGGAGTCCCCACAGCTGACGTCCTCTCCCTCCCGCTCTGGCCCCGCATAGCAACTGCCGCCCTGGGGCCTCCGGGCCCCTCCTTTTCCGAGCGCATTCCCCACCCGCTGCGGATCCACCAGCGCCTCTCGCCTGGGCCTAAACTTCGCGAGAACTGGAACGCCGACGCCCCCACATTCGCTCCCGCCCCCTCGGTTCAGACGCTGCCCGCCGCCCTCCCACTCTGGGTTCAAGACCTCCGAAGCCGCACTTGCACATCGGGTTGGAGACACCGGAGGTTAGTAGGCTTGCGGCGGGGCCGGGACCAGGAGCGCAGAGTCTGGGAGCCCCGCGGCCTGGACATCCACACCTCCACCGGCGCCTGATCCCGCCACTGCCGAGACGTACGGTCACCGGGAGGCAGCGGTCTGGGGCAGGGGAGGAGGGCGTGAGATGTCAGACTGCTCACACCCTCCTGTTGCCCGGACTTCGGGTTTCGGGGTAGAAAAGGCATCGAAGGCCCCTCCCTACTTGTCAACAGTCACAAGGAAATACAGGACTAGAGGAGGTTTGGCTCCAGCAGGAACCTTTAATAAGGCTCTGGAGGGCTGGATCTGTTTCCCACGGAGGAAAGCAAGCCCTTTGGCTAGTTACATACCTGTGCTTAATAAATTATTTACAGCTATTTATTCTTTTTCAAGGAAATCTGAACGTTTCTCCAGACAATAGCAATTCCATTTACGAAAAGTCAAGTGACGGACAAACAGTACAAATCGACTCCCTTGAATAAAATAAATGCACCAGTGTTGAGAGCATAAATTGGCTGATATAGAAGGTCCATTTTTGTTGTCCTTAGGAATTCACTTGTGAACGTTGACTACAGTCTGGATAGTGGTTCAGGCTGAATTAGTGTAACTAGAAGCTCAGACCCACCACATTCACAAAATAGGACTTAAGGTTTTCAAATGTCATTTTTACTCAACTTTTGGGGGACTCTCAAAGGGGCAGCAACCAACCCAGGTTCACATTTATTTTTCGTTTACAAATATACAGGCAGTAACGCTGTAGGTTAGTATAATTTACATACAGAAGTTCTTCATCTTTTAAAGTCATGTTTTTTCATAATTTCATATTTTTTCTTTATGTACATTGGGATACTTTTCATTCATAGCACCTTTTCCCACGAACTTCAAGTACAAACAAAAAAAGAAACTAGAGAATGGAAACTAGAGAATAGAGAACTGAGGCATTAAGAGATCACAAGAGCCACTGGCTGATAATGGACGTAAACCTAGGCTTACCACAATCCAGTCCTTTATCCTTGAACCACCAAATATCTGTGAACACACCGTAAGTCTGAAGGTGTCCTACTACAAACATGCCTTGCGATAAAGTGGCACAAACTATAGTAGATCCAGTGTCCTTTTTTTGTCTCAAATAAGGTCGGTATAGTAAGCCTAGTTATGCTAATCCTAAGCTCTCATGGTCTTATCTGTGATAAAAAGAAGGAAAATGTGGTTGCCGGACAAAAATCTTTTGATACATAGTGAGTGAGAAGTAGGACAAAATGGGCTGATGGTGAAAAATATGAAAACCAGTCATTTGAAAAATGTATTTCAGCAGTCTTGGAATACAGAGCATATATTTGGACTTTATAAAAAACTGCTCTCCATATATTTTTAGGTCTTCGCTCTAATTTCTAAATATAATTCAGATTAAACAATAATCTAACAGTACCTTATTTTAGCTCTTTAGTGATGTTTCTAGATAAGGGTAATAAAAAGGATCCTAAGTCTCACACCTCATTTCTTATCAAAGCACTCTTGCTCCAAAAGCCTTTTATTATTACTCAACCAGTTAACACCAAAATTATCAAACAGAGAAAATTAACTCCTGTCCTGAGCTTCTCAATAAACCCAATCATACGCAATGCCTCATGATGTTTCTCACGTCCATATTTTAACCCCAGCACTATGAAGCCAAGGCTTATGCTACGAAGCCCTGTCAGCCCATCCAAACACCTTTTATACAAGGTGGCTTCATTTGAGATGCCCCAAAATCTTGAGCACACCTCCATTAACTAGTTACTACATCGTCCTCAGTGTTTGAAAGATGTGCCCTACAACCCAAAACTGTGCCTTCACTTAAGCAGGAAGTATGTCATTATTCAACTTGGTGTGCCCAGCTCAGGCCTGCAGCTGGCACTTTCAGGCACTCGTGTGTTTGTTGGATGTGTACGGGCCTGTCCAGAAAGTATCCAGCTATGTACTATGAAAATAGACATTTATTGAAGAAGATACAATATAGAAGAAACATTGTACATAGGACAATGACACCTCAGGCTCCTTCAAAGTAGGCACCTTGGGACCTCACAGAGTTCTCCCAGCATCTCTTCCACCATTCAAAACAGTCAGCAAAATCTTTTGTTGGAATCACATCAACTGCCCTATCATATTTTCCTGAATCTCACTGACAGTCTGAAATCTCTTCCCCTTTAAAGGTAATTTTAGTTTTGGGAAAAGCCAGAAGTTGCAGGGCACCTGCAACTGGGGTGTAAGGGAGCTGAGTCACCAGGGTGATTTGATGTTTCACCAAAAAACTCTGCATGAGACGTGACGTGTAGGTGGGCACATTGCCGTGATGAAGCTGCCAATAACCAGTTGCCCATAGCTGTGGCGGTTTTCGTCATGTTGCATTGCTCAACCAATGAAGAACACCGAACACTCATTAATTATGTGAGCTGGAGGGGTGTACTCTGGACAACACTTTCCCAATCAAAAAACAGTTAACATGGTCTTAATCTTGCTGCGACTTTGCCAAGCCGCCTTTGGTCACGGAGAACCAGGTGACTTCCATTGGTATGACCGGGCCTTGGTTTCCGGGTCATAGCTGTAGACCCACCATTTATCTCTGGTTGTGACATTCTTGAGGAAATCTGGTTCATTGGTAGTAGTTTGAATCAAGTCATTAGCAACTGCAGCACAATGTTCCTTTTGCTCTGGTAGCAGAATTTGTGGGATGAATTTTGCCAAGTTTCATGCCAAGATTCTATGTCAAAATCCCAGTTTTTGGAACTCCCAGATCAGCTTCTAGTTCTTGCACTCTCAGTTGCTGATCTTTGTTGACTGCAGCCCGTGCACTTCAACATTCTCAGGTGTTATTCTGCTTGTTGCAGGCCTTCCAAGACATGGGTCACTTTCAACAGGTTCTCAACCATTTTTGAAGCGTTTGTGCCATACTCGTATTTGTGCTCCACTCATTGCGTTGACCCCCTAAGCCTTCAGAATCATCTGAACAGTTTCTGTGGAGGGATGTGCAAGCATAATGCAAAATTTGATGCATATTTGTTGCTCCACCTGCGCAGTCATTTTGAATGTGACAGCCACACGATACACATGCTCACTCAATGGCATCTACCACCCCCACTGACTAGTGCAGTGAAGTTGTCATTGTTCACACATGTGTGTTCCAGTCCACTTTCCTTAGCTGCCAGGTTACATTGATACCATGCAAACTGTTCTCATATTAACAGTGGCTGGATTTTTTCTGGACAGACCTTGTATTTCTTGACAATCAACCAGCAAAATGTCTAAATGTTTTTCTCCCTAAGTAACAGACACCACTGTATATTTTTAAAGACTCTCTGATTCTGTACTGCCTGTTATCATAAATAAAGTTGAGAGTAACAGATTCTCAAAAATGACAGAATTTTAGAATTCAGGTTTGTCTGCTGAAATAATTCTTTAAATAAAATCATATAATGCAAATGTCAAGATATAGTAAATGAAATACACAAGCAAAGTAGCTTATGATTTTATATGAAAAAATAAATATATCATTAGAAAAATGTAGCTTCCTATACATCACCCAGCCTGTTAAAATGTTCTATTTTATATACATATAAAACTACAGCCAAAACAAACCAGTAATAAATCATCTTGAAACGTCAGCGTGAATACAGTAACTCTGCTTTTGCTTAACACTCCACACATAAATGTGGCCCTGGGCTAAATGTGAGTCATAGGAAAGGCGATGTTTTACTTGAGAGCATAGGTCTAATTGGTAGGTGACAGTGACTTAAAATCAGCTGGTGAACACAACACTCCCATTTTCCTTTGCAGATGACAGCACAGCACGTTCACTTTAAAGTGGGCAAAAGGATACTTTTAGAAAACTATACATCATTAGGAGGTACTAGAGAAATTGGTAGTAACAAAAAAATACTTGGCAGTATTACACATTACCCTCTTGATACACCCTGAAGTCTAAACATTGGTATTAAAACTGCTGATCTGAAAAGAAGCTTAGTCAAATGCCTTGAAGATTTTGCCTTCTGTCTTAAAGTACTGTCAATAAGGTAATGGCTCTCTATCAGGAGTTTGCTTTTCCAGAAACCTAAAAAAATCAGATAATCAATGAAGAAACTAAATGAAGAAATATTATGGTAGGCATAATGTTAAAAAGGTACATCCCTTTTTATTTTTAAAATGAAATTTTAAATTCAGTCATTTGAATTTCTAGTCCCAGCTAAAAAGAAGGGGAGGCATAAGATGAGGCAAATATATCCTGGCTGGTGTGGCTCAGTTGGATAGAGCATTGTCCCAAAAACTGGAAGGTCACAGGTTCAAACCAGACAGGGCTCATACCTGGGTAACAGGTTCAGTCCCTGGTCAGGGCACATGTAGGAAGCAATCAGTGTTTCCCACATCGATGCTTCTCTCTCTCTCCTTCCCTTCCCCACTCTCCTAAGTCAATACACATGTTCTCAGGTAAGAATTAAAAAAATGATGACAGAAGAGATAGAAAAACCATTTAAAAGAAAAACACTCAAAACATACTATTTGAGTCTAAATAGTAGGTAGGTCATCATCTCTAAGTGCATCATTGCCTGAAACTGACATTCCCGGTGATAAGCTAAGACGGGGAATAGGAGCTGGCTGCCTCATTAGCAGTGCTGATTCCTCATCTGTAGAAAGCCTTACTAACAGGAGCTCTACATAACAGCTACTATTTTTCTGCTTTGTTTATTACCAGTATATACATTTTTTCCACCTTAGCCATTTTATTTCTACATTAAGAAGGTAGAAATATCTAGGATGCACTTTAGGTTAAGATAAGTTTTGGTGTTTAAAAGAGCATTTCA